TGTGTGTATTATTATTATTTTACAAAAGTTTATTAAATTTACAACAGACTCCAACACAACACTTCATTCTAGCTATAGGTGGCAAAAGATGTTCCAGTGGGGATCCTGATGTCTAAATAGGAATGGAATCAATGGTCACCATCATTTCAGGCACAAGAATCGGCTTACTTTTTGCCAGATTTCTTAATTCCGCCTGTGGCCAGGGGGCCCTTCCCCGTGGCCTTCGCTTTTAGCTCCTCAAGTTTCTTCTGCTCCTCTTTTTTGTTTCTGTTTGAAAGCCTTATCTTCCTCATCCATCTCCTTGACCTGCTTCTTAGGTTGTTTCAGGGGCTTCTTCTTGCTACCTTCCCAGCCGGACATGGTGCCTGCCACCCCTACCCCAGACCTTCAACACCGCTACTTAAGACCATGGTGTTATCCAGCTGTGCCAATCCTGAATCATTTGTTGCTGTCTCACTGTAATTCTCTATGCTGAGATCACATGGGCTTCTTGTATCTAATACAAGCTGGTGTGGTCGAGCATGCCTGTAATCCCAGCAACTCCAGAGGCTGTGGCAAGAGAATCACAAGTTCGAGTCCAGCCTTGACAAAAAGTGAGACCCTTTGTCAAAACAAAAAATAAAATACACCAGGTACAGTGACCCACACCTGTAATCCCAGCAGCTTGGGAGGCTTAGGCAGGAGGATCACAAGTTCAAAGCCAGCCTTGGCAATTTAGTGAGGGCCTAAGCAACTCAGTGAGACCCTGTCTCTAAATAAAATATTTTAAAATGGGCTGGGGATGTGGCTCAGTGGTGAAGCACCCCTGGATTCAATCCCCAGTACCAATAAATAAATAAATAAATAAAGCAAGCAGTTGGGAAAACAGCATGGTAATAGAGAGCCCTTGGGTTCAAACCCCAGTAGCAAAATAATAATAATAATACTTACATATATACATACCAGATTTGCTATTCTTTAATACATGCATTTTGTCTACATTGAACATGTCCCTCTAGTCCTCCTTCATAACCACATTTATAACTGTGTGCTGATACAAAAATAAGATAGTATTTGGGACTTTTGACCCCAGAACATAAGATAATATACCTTCTGGGACTCAAAATACCAAAACTTCAGATTGCTAGTTGAGACATACCTTCCTGTGACTCCACTCTTGACAAGTATTCACTCTGAAAAGGCAGAAGGTCCTGTCAAATTAAGTCATTTCACTTCATCTTCAGCATTCCAGACCTGTAGGAATGCCACCTTGAAGGGGTTGCTCTTGCAGATTATTTGGACAATTTCTTCCATGGACACAAGGCCTTTGACTCATTACTAACATTCTGTGCTGGAGTTATTTTCTTTGCCTATTTTGGTTTATAATTTCATATATTCCTTTTTCTTATTTTGCTTTTGTGCACATTGCAATAAACCAATTTATTCAGAATTTATCTTTGCCTCACTTTGATTAAAGTAGTTTTGTCGTGCCAGGCATGGTAGTTCATGCCTGTGATTCCATGATCTGTTTTGGAAGCTGAAGCAAGAGAATTGCACGTTTGAGACCAGCCTGGACAAATTAGCAAGAACCTGTCTCTAAAAATAAAAAGAGCTGGGGAGGGTGTAACTCAGTGGTAGAGTGCCCCTCCGTTCAATCCCCAGTACAGACACACACACAAAAAAAAAAAATAAATAAATAGAAATGAATGAAAAAAGAAGAGAAGAAATGCAAGCCTGTAATCCTAGAGCCTAGTAATAGAGCTTTTGCATGCAAGGCTGTTGGGCTCAATCTTCAGTACCAAACACACCAAAAAGTTCTAAAAATGCATTTTTTTAACCATAATATGTTGA